TTAGGCAAGGGACAATCTCCTTTGTTCCCGTTTTGAAATGTATCTGGTTGGAGTTTTCCACTGCTACTAGAGTTCAATTAAATACAAATAATAAATAGTTAATGGGTTGTCAAGCTGCAGAGGTGGGGCTAATCAGCTGAGGCTTCATGGAGTGGTTAATGATGGATTAGGAATGGGGGAACTGATAAAGCTGAATATTTAAAGGCTAATATTGTACAGAATGATGGATGCTTTGTCAGCTTTGATTGCATATGACCAGAACTAACATTGTGCTTATCTTCCTCCTCCTTCTTCGGTAGATTACTCGGCTCCAAAACATCGCTGTTTTGAGAGTCTCTGTCCAAATTCCCCTGAGTGGAGCACTGCCTGTCAGAGGAGATGGCCTAAGAGGCTGTCTTACAGCTGAAATTGGGTTGGGAGGTGAAAAAAACAGTGACTCTACGAAGGAGGGGCATTATCAGCCGCACGCTCCTCTGTTCCTGTTCCTATTCAGCTTGCTGAAATGGAGGGTTTTCAATTGATTTTGTTTTCTTTGCAGTGCTGGCTAGCCAGCCAGTGGGGAGGGAGCTGTGTTCTGCGAGTGTGCGGCGCAGGAGGGGCACGTCCCACTGCCCGTGCAGCGCTGCTGAGAGCTACCAGGAGCTTTGGCTTCCCAGCCGTGCCGTGTGCCGATGAGCTGGTGTCACTGCGCTCTGTGTGCAGAGTGAAAAGGGTAATGTGCACCTACTCATACAAAGGATCCCTATATATCACAGCTACATTTATTCCCTTGTTAAATAAAATCAAAGTAATCGTGAATTTATTAGCATTTATTAACCAGCAACACATCCCGTTCTCATATAGGTATCTCAGTAGGTATATTTAGGGTTAAAAATGAACACCTTTTAGTGCCAAATTCTGTCCAAGGGACGTGACTTCTACCGATATCAACTGATGCTAAATTATGCTGGTTTTTCAGTATCTAACTATAGGATCAATAAGGCCTTCGTCTTTCTCGGTAGTCTGTCAGCTAGTAGGAAGACAGGCAGCCTTGTAGACAAGACACAGACAACGAGGTCAAGAGAAGTGGATTCTTTTCTCAGTTTGCCTAAGGGGGTTTGCAAAGCCTTGGACAAATCACACAACCTCTCTGTTAAGCCTCCTGACTTCCAAAATGGAAATGATCATAACTGTCTACTTCCCCAGGATGTTATGGAGTAAATCAATTCTCTGTATGTACGGGGAGAGGAGGGTGAGGAATAAATACCTGAGCGCTTTGGAAGGAACAGACATATTTCTGTTAGCTTTCATTTTTGTAAACAGTCTTAGAGGTGCACCTAAGCTTTAACATGTTTAAAAATTAAGCAACATCTAGAAGAAAATTAGGTTATTTAGGCAGGGTACAGTTAATATAACACATTAACATTGCTAATCTCATTCTCATATGAAAAGAATTTATTTTGGATAAGACCAGAGTAACTATGAAAGATTGAAAGATCAAATGTTCCCAATCAAATGGGAGTGCTTTGCAATTGTTTTACTTCAGATGATAGTCAGGAAAATATTTCCACATTTCATTTGTTAGAAAAGATATCCAGAGCCAGCATTAGTGGTGGCTTTGATGTATTCTCTGGTACATTAGTCCAGAGCATGCTGATGTAAACAGAAGTGTCTCTTCACCTTTCATCTTTGTTCTTCAACTTTGATACTGGCCCCCTGCAGTGGCTTCTTTCTCCTCCTGGGGAGGCTTAACAAAGTCAATTGATAGAGAAAAAAATAGCTTCATTTTTCTTCTCTACTTAAGACTCTAAAGAAAAAGACACATCTATTGTACAGACACTGAAGCTCTTGAAATAGTGTGGGTTTTTCTCTCAAATCCTGAGGAGAAATGAGCCAAGAGGGAATAAAAAAAAAAAAAAAAAAAAAAAAAAAAAAAAAAAGCAAGCATGTGGTTTTGTCCACAACTTAAAATATGGTGAGTACATCATACTTTCACTTCTGACATTTTTTTGGAGAGAAAAACTGAGAAACTAAATTACAGGCAGCACAAGCAGCAATGCCTATGGGTAACTTGGTCCATCATTACCCATTATAAGACCCTGGCTTTTGATGCCTGTAACTGTCAACTATTAACTAATCTCTAACGATTCTTTCTGTGATTGGTGTGTCAGCCTGAAGCTAAATTTTAAAATAGTTCAGTCAGTTTGCAAAATGAAGCTGGCAAAAAATACATTTTGCGTGTGTTAAAAAATATTGTTGGACTGCATGACTGAGAAACTATCCTATCTCCGTTCTCTAAAACTGAAATTTGGTGAAGGATTTGCCAAGGATTTGATGGGTGGGGAATGTCTCACACTGTTTCCATTATGAAATGTAAATACAGACCTCTGGTCAGAGTGGTCTTTCCACATTCTGCTGTCTGGAAAGTCCAACACTAATGGATATCTGCTGTAGGTTTACTGGGGATGGGCCAGACTTTCCAGCGATGGCTTTTCCTAGCAACAGAGGCCTTTGTGGAGGTGAGCGCAAGAACTGAGAGAGAGCTCTGATGTTGCTCCCCACAGTCTCACCCATAAACGTGTATGAAAAGAAGAGTCCATGATTAGGATGCAGGCTGTGCAGACAAGAGGATGATTGGAACTTAATGAGAAAAAGATGAGGAGGCTGTGACAAGAATGAAAGAACAGTAACCAGTAGGGATGGTGTGTGGGACTGAAGCGAAGAAGTGAGGAGGTTGGGAGAAAGAAACCATGATCTTGGACCAGGAGTCAAACAAGGACTGCTGAAGCAAAACTGTTCTGTTGTTAAGAGAAGCGAAAGGGATGAAGGCATTGGGCTGAGAGTGGCAAACAGGGTCCTTGGGTGTTACAGTATAATCTTTTCTAAGAGTCTCTGTGGTCAAAAAAGAAAGCTGTGAAACTCACTGACAAAACGTATGCTTCATTTCTCCAGCCATTGCTGCATTTAAAGAACATCAACCTACTGCTAGTGAATCCTGAGGAAGCCCTAGTGGCAGTGTGAGGCGTTGTGGATATTAAGGGTCTTGCCCTAGTTCTAAACCACTTGGAAGTAGGAGAATTCTACATAAAGGGGGCAGAGTTGTTCAGTTTCCTAGACTGTAACACAAAGAACAGTGATTGTGAAAAGCTAAAGTCTCGCATGTTAGGAGATGGTAGGTTTACTGTCCATAGAACCCAAATTCTCCTCAGTTTGTATGTATTATTTTAAGCAGACTTTAATTTAATTGCAAAATCATGTTAGTTTTTCACAGAACACTTACCACATTAAGTGCAAGAATGGATACGGCTCAGGAAATGAATCAAGGAACTTGTCAGCCTTACAGGATGAGGTGCCTTGGTAGCTCCTCTTAAGTGCATCCCTCCGGCAATTTTCATTAACTTAGTCTTTCTGCACAGAAACATGCCATTGCATTCCATCATTTTTAGACCGTGTTTATGAGCTGAAACTCCCTATTTAGCAACAGTTTGTTCTGTGACACTGGCTAACTAAACTGACTCAATGGCAGCTCCTTCAAAGCAAAGCTTTATTCTCTCAGAGATAGGCAGCACTGAAAGCAAAGACTTGACACCAGTACCAAAACTCTCCCGTCATCTTTCCAGTTTTTGCAGGTTGCCTCTGTTCTAGTTTTTCCCCTCTCCAGTTTGGGAGAGGCCGCTTATGAGATGCCACAGGCATGTCCAGCCATTGTTGTTTCCACAGTCAAAAGTCCCTTCCTTAGGACAGTGACTCTTACAGCTTTGGTGCCCATTTGGATTCACCTCAGGTGTAAGAACAATAAACACCTCGCCATTGCCGCTGGAAACAGGTAAGGACATTCCTTTTTAGCAGCTTCTCCCCTTGTATCATCAAGAGTTATTTGTGCTTTCCTCGACTGCACTTCATCTTTGTGATTGTTTTCTCTTTGCTCCTTCTTTTACAGTATCCTTCAGTGTAACTCTTTTTAATCATGTAGAATAATGCAAACAAAGTGACCCGTATCTCCTGTTTGTAAAGATAAGAAATATAATGTCCTAATTTTTCAAGTGACTCTTGTCAAAGGGACAGTTTTCTCATCAGAACTCTGCCTGATTTGTTGCAACAGAGCCTGGAAATTATAGGAGGAATGGTTGTGAGTGATTGTAAAGACAAAATGGATCATATTCTTGCTGAAGTATTTGTAGAGTTGAGGAAGTAAATTAAATCAAATTCCTGAAGATGGCCAGTGAATTTTCCTCCTCTGGGGTACAGAAAATCTGAACTCACAAAAGCTTCGGGTGCATGTAGCTGCAAACAGGCGTCAGCGACGGCTGTGCTCAAGAATATATGAAAGATTACAGGGTATGCAGTACACCACACTGCAGAATTCCAGGACCGGGAAGTCTTCAGCTGGGCACTCAGAATTAGTTCTCACGTTTGACGTCAACTGCTTGGTTGAAAGTACCTCTTCAGCTCGCAAGGAGGCTGTTCATGAACCCCTCGGCTGTGTCACGGTGTAGCACCATAGGACAAACCTACAAGGAAAGGCAGAGCCCTGCTGGTGCCCCGTCCCAAACGACCATGGGAACAGGTGAAACAGAGGGCCCGTACACTGCCATTACAGAAACAGAAAACACGACTGTGCAGCTAAAGACTACACGTTGAGCACTCGATGTGGGAATCTGAACTCTCTTCCCCCTTAGTCTTCGTATGCAACACCGGGAGCAGACAAGGGCACATCCCTTTTTTTTTTTTTTTTTTTTTTGAGGGGGGGGGGGGGAAAGGGCACCCCCAGATAGCCGAGCGCGGGGGGCGTTCCCCCTCCAGCCGGGCCCTGTGCCGAGGTCAGGCACACCCCCCCTCAGCGCAAGGGCTAAAGGCGAAGAAAAACGGGAGCTACACCCTATACCCACCAGAGCCCCTTCCCCACGCACCCACCTCTCACGCAGGACCCCCCCCGCCCCGCCCAACCGCCACAGCCGTCAGGCGAGGAAGCCGCGGGAAAGGGGAGCCTTGCCGACTTCGCTTTACGGCCCGGCGTGTTTTGCGACGCCCAAAATGGCTGCCCCCAGGGCACAATGAGCCCGCTCCGGCCGCCGCCGCCGCCGGGGGGGGACGCGGGCGGGCCGGCAGGGCTCCCGCCGCCCGGGGCTGAGCCGGCCGCTGGCGGCGGGGGGAGGAACCGTAGCGAGCCAGGAGGAGGGACCGGCCCGCGGTCGCTTGATCTGCGTGGCCCCACCGGGGCAAGTTAACGGGAGAGAGAGAGAGGAGCCGGCGGCGGGAGCGCGGGGGGGTGCGGGGGGGTGTGGGATGTGGGGCGCCTTGCTGCGGCGCGGGGCCCGCGGCGGTGGCGGCAGCCTGCGGGGTTTGGCTTCGGGGGTCCCGCCCTGGAGCCAGGTGGTGTCGGAGGCCGAGAAGATCGTGGGGTACCCGACGTCCTTCATGAGCCTGCGGTGCCTGCTGAGCGACGAGCTCAGCAACATCGCCATGCAGGTCCGCAAGCTGGTGGGCACCAAGCACCCGCTGCTCGACACCGCCCGGTAAGCGCCCGGCCCCCGCGGTGGAAAGCGCCGGCCTGCCCTCGAGGGGGTTTGTCAGAACCTCGTGGGAAGTTTTGGGCTCCGTTCGTCGCCAAGAGTTGAGGCTCGGGTCGGTGGTCGGCGCCGCTTCGCGGGCCCTCACGGCCTTGGCCGGTGCGGGGCCCATGGGCCACCCCTGGGGGTGCCGGAACCGGCGTGTCCGTGGGGACACCTGGCCTGAGGTTCCCTGAGGTTTTGCGTGGGCAGTGAGCTCCCTGCTCCGGGATCTGCGTTTCCTTGCCGCAACAGGTTTCCCCTTTGGTTAATCCTCCGCCATTCAGGAGTTGCTTCGTGGTCGTGCCACGTGCGATGGATGAGTTTGTCTCCCCGTGCGATGTGCAAAAAAAAAAAAATAATCCCTTGATTATGGAGGAAGTGTGGCTGCCTCACTAACAGTTACATATTTTTTAGTATTCAGAACTATATTGCAAGGGAACCAGGGGAAAAAAGTGGAGGAACTAATCAAAAGTTCAAAATGAGACGGCTCTGAACTGTGTATTTTGTTACTAAAAGCTTTAGAAACATTGTCTATTTTAGAACATCCAGGTGGGAGCTGTGAGTTTTTGTATATTGTTGAGGATTTTAGGGTTGCTAAGCTGATTATCCACTCTTCAATTTTTAAGGCAAACTGGTGGAAGATTTGAATTCCTGTCAGTAAGTTGGGATTGTTGGGCAGTGTTTTCTTTGACTGTTAAACGGGAACTGATTGGCAGTGTTTTTTTAAAGAACAGAATGCCAGAGGCTTAACAAAACTTAGAAAAAAAAAAAAAAGTGCAATTTTCCAAGGGCATTGGGTTGTGGGTTTTTTTTTTGTGTGTGGTTTTTTTTGTTGTTGTTGTTGTTGTTGTTTTTTTTCTGTAGGGGTGGGGTGTGTTTGATAGAAGTGTTTGCTATAACTGCAAATATAGCGATGTTAATAGATCTCAAGTTTAATGCGCACAGTGTTTTTGAACAGGTGTAAAATAAAAATTAGCATTTGTTCAAAACAAATGTTCTGCTTTTCTTTTAAAGAATAAAAACTGTAGCTCTGTAGTGGTCCTTGGCAACTCCACAATTTTGGTGTAGTGGTATAAAAATAAGATTTGTTTTTTAAACTCTCTGTCTCTAAACCTGGTTGTCTTGAGTGAACAAAAGGAGCACAGGGGACAAATATAGCTTTCTGCAGAAACATTATTTTGGGGGGAGGGATGGGGCGATTTAGATATTGTCTTTAAGTAGACTTTTCTGGAAGAAACAAATCAACTTGTTAATAAAAGTGGAAAATACTTGACGTTAGAAAAGGCTTGGGGGGGGAGGGTTGTTGAATTAGTTTTAGATGCAGCTTGTGATATTATGTTAAGCTTAGCAAAGACTTCTGGTTTTCTTTTTTAAGAGGAGGGACAAGAAGTAAATGTTCTTCTGCCTTTGGGTCCAACCTTAAGGTCAGTGGATGGGCTGCAGGGAATAGGAGGACCAACGCGCAATGTAGTTGGGCTCTTAAGCTTCCACTGCAGTCACAGAAGTGTTGTGGAGACCTGCGGCGCTACAGTGGCACTTCAGCGTTAGCTTTAGAGAGTCTGTTAAATGTGTGGTATTTGCTGGTTTATTTGTGAATTAAGTTTAAATACAGTATTTTGGGGCATGGTTGGAGGTTTTGTGGTGGAGCTGTGATGTGTGGTGGTTTATTTTGTTGTTTTAAATGGGCTGCTTTGGGCTTAATTCTGTAAGCCTGTGGCTTGTGGAACACCAGTAGGAATATAATCATGCACGGGGTCATCAGGGTTGGATCCGTTCATTTTTCAAATTCATATATGTTTCAGAGTATGCTGCTAACCCGATGTGTCATCCTGGAAACAAAAGTCAGTATTTACTCACATAAAACCCAAACTGTGTGCCCTTCTTTTGGATGTTCTTGTATGGTTTCACTGGTATTTCCGAAGACTTAGTTGCAGATGCATTTCCAGTGGCCTTGACCTTTGTATTATAAGAAGAGTTAATTTCCTGCTGACAAGTTTTAGTACACCTGTAGCAATGCACAAATTGTACCTCACCTTGTTTTATGGTATGATTTTGCAATAAGATGAATTTTGACCTGGTTCTTTATTAATAATCTTAACAGTCTCTTTCTAAAATTTGACTGTTGTATGTTTGACTGTAAATGTGATTGATTTTAGTTCTGGGTCTGAGATCTATCCTGTGACTTACCATAGCAGTTCAGGAAGCAGGACTTGATTTTTCAATATTAGATAAATGTTTTAAATCTGGCTCTGTTATATAAGTAACACAGGTTTCCTGTTGTGTGTTCAGGCAAATGTTTTAAAGCATGGGTATCTAAAATATGTTCTTTGGTGATTTATTTTTAAAAAACTTCAGTGATTGATGTGTTCTGCAACTCTAGTCTTTCAGACTGTGAGTGCATAAATACTGTATATGTCTATTAAGTACTCCAACACTCAAGGAGATTTTTCTATTTGTGGGAACATGTGAAAAATCTGTGCAGTAAAATTGATTAATTGCACATGCTGTTTCTCAAGTTTCTACTCATTTATTTTTGAGGTTATAAGTGGTGACAATCAAATTATGATTGCTTGCTGTCATCTCTAAGCAAAATTCATCTTCTTTAGCCTTCTTTGACTCGTGGCATTTTATCACCAGTGCTTTTGTGTCTATCCTCCCTTCCTGTCTAAATGCTTTACTGGCCCCTGAAGCCTTTCTGAGACCATTAGGGGTTTCTTAAGTGTTGGTGGAAAACCCTCTGCTCCATCTGTGAGGAGTAGGTTCTGAGCTGAGACAGCATAAGACATAATTGCCACCCCATTGAAAGCCTTGAGCGTAACAGGAGTACCGATGAGCGCTTTTAACCTTTTGCCCAGCTTTGGGTCACTAGGCTGCTGCAACGTGTAGCCTGTGCTGGGAGCCGGAAAGAAGGCAGCTTAAAGATAACCATCCACGTGAGACAGGACATGTGGAGGAACAGCTGCTGGGGCAGTATACGTTTCTCTGATGATCCCATCCGTTTCTTCCTCGCGTTTGGACGCGGCGGTGGCAGCTCCTGGGTGTAAGGGCTGGCCATGAATCAGGACTGCAGCAGGTGTGGGATGATGTGCGACCCTGATACCTCCTACCAAGCCGGTGCCTGGCCAGCGGCTTTAAATCTGTGAGCTATTGCTGACTGTGCTCTTGGGAGGGCAGAGATGGGTAACTGAGCCCTACAGTGAGCAACTTGGGAGTTCTGTAATCCACGAGGTAAAGTCGAGTTTATATTTTAGAAAATTTTTTTATTATTCTTAAGTTTTTGGTTTCTTAAAAGTCAGCCACGTGAAGTGAACATCCTCAGTACTAGCTTTGCCAGACTTGTTAAAAAGAGGGCAAAATGTGAGGGAAAGGTTACATTTCATTTTAGAAAGGCTAATGTCTAGTGGTTAACAGATCATTGGAAGCTGGGGTATCTGGAGTATATTCACAGCTGTGCTTTTGGCTCTCTGACTGGGACAAGTCACTTAATTTTTCATACTTGAGTCTATCTGTAAAATGAATAATGTAGCATCTGTTTTCTGGAGGTCTTGCACTTCGTTCATTACAGTCTGTATTGATCACTGTGATTTCTGAGTGGAAAATGGTGCATAAACAATATTAATAAAGAATACTTTAAAAAAAAATGCTATCATTAAAATATTTACCTCCAATGGATACTCTGGAAACAAAATTGCAATCTGACTCCTGGATCTGTCTTTCTGTTTGTAGTCCTCCGTGTCGTTGTATGGTTCTTCAGAGCTTTCAGTTTTCTTTCCTTATAATTAAATGCTTTCAGCAGCTACTCAAAACTAACATTTAAGTTCTTTTGCTCTTCAGGCTTTGTTTGACTGAAGGAAAACTTTTTCAGTGCATGAACGTATGACCTCCTTTCAGTTGGGAAGCAAACAGATCTCCAATCTTCTCTCTTCTTTCACCCTCCTTTCTAGGCTAGCACACATCCTTCTTAATATAGGAAAGAATCTGTAATTGGCACAGCGATCTACTTCTCTCAAATACAGAGTGTGATTAATGTTTTCTTGATTATTTAATCTCCCTTGAGAAGGGTATAGCTTGCTGCAGATTGTAAACAGTAAATGTTACGGCCAATGCATCACTTTTATAATATCACTAAATGAAATGGAACACTTCATACACGTAAAATTATTATGGGATACCATTTAGCTCTAGCCATTCTGTCATTAGCATGTGGGAGGAATGATTATATTTTAGTTCTGTCAGAATTGTTTGTTGGTGATAAATGCCTAAGTAGACTTAGTTATGGTTTTCCTGGATTATTACAGAAATAAAAAGCCTCAGTAGACCCGGTTTGTTCTGTTGCAGCCCTCTCTGTGTAGATCTCTAGCCATTTTAAGCACTGAATGTAAAATGTAATCCAGAGTAGCTTCAAGATTGCCTGCTTTTCAGTCAAAATGTCTGAAAACATTGGTTTCCTGATAGTTCTGTTTCTCTGTCAGCTTGAAATAGCTTAGTTCAGTAACATGTGTCTTGTAACTTCAGGTGCAGCGTGCATTTGCCCTCCTACATGAGTGACTGATTTCAGTATAGACCTAGGGATTTGTTCCAATCTTGTCTTGATGGAAATGTTATTGCGGATTTATATTTTGCCTTAACAGAATGGTGATCTTAAACCTATCCTTTTTTTATAATTGTAGGTGCTGTGATTGACTACAAGTAGCTTTTAGCAACTTGTTTCAAATGTTAATTAACTTTTTTTTTTTTTTTTCCTGGGCTAAAAAATGAAAGTGTCTATTTACTTGGCAGTGGCTAATGAGATAACTTTCTCTGAAAACAGGTAGCAGCTGGATACTCAAAGTGGCAAGCAGAAGGTCTGGTCAACTTACAGCTTCTAAAACTAAAATTTACTACAGTATTTTAAGTTTTACTGACTTGCTCGATCTGTAATGGATCTTGGGGGCATAATAGTCCCTCTCCTGCTGTTGTTGGAT